AGAGTGGCTCGAGGCCAGTTGAACTGATCCCTAGTGTTCTGCCCGTCGATCCAGTCTCCTGGATTGAGAATAAATAACAGTCCCATCATTTTCCGAGATAGTCTCACTTACACTAGGATTTCTTATACCAGTTTCCTTGATAATTCGGAAAAGTTGTCTACTGTTTCCGATCGCCGCTGCCTTTTCCATCGCTTTTGCTTTCGCCACCTACCACTGTTCGCGATCGTTACGTAGGCTTTTTATCAATCTGCGCCCAAGCTGACTTCTTTCTTCATCATGTTCAGAGCCAGGTGGGATGAGTTTTCGGACATCCATCAGATCGGTGGATGCTACTGAGATCCACGGCTTCATTCTAGCCTTATGGTCAACCTTACTAGCAGATATCACTGCTGTTTCCACAGCCTTCTTGATATCATTCCAACCTGCCTCCGGATGGGAATCGCTTACATGGTCGCCTTACTATCTTTCTAGTTGTTCCCGAAATATATTCTTCGCCCTATTATCATTAAGTAAAACCCTAAGAGGCTTTCTTACGGTGTCTTTCCTACTCCAGTAAGCTTCAAACAAATACGCGCTCGCACTATGGCATGATCTGAATCTAAACATGTGATCCAGAACGAGCGACAGTCTTCTATCGAACCCCTCCATCGGTGGCTGATGGCAATGTGATCTAGTTGGGTCCAACGTTGAGACGACTTTGGAGGTCGCCAGGTCAACAGATGCTTTTCCTTATGCCTAAAGTTAGTGTTTGCTAAGAATAGGCGGTTGTCTGAGCATGCTTGCAACAGACGGTCACCATTGTCTGTTCTCTGAGCCGCGACCCCTGGAAGCAGCATCAGGGCTACCGGATACACGAAGAGTAAATCGAGCTGCTTCTTTATTTTGACAAGATGAAATCAGATTAATAATTTTACTAGAATCCTGTATGCGCGTTTCCGAGACGCAGCATACATCGATGGCACGAGATTCTAAAGTCCTAGCTAATGATGCCTGTTGCCCTATTTGACACAATGTCCATACACTAAATGCTCCAACATGTAGTCTAGGACGAGGTTTCAAGAGACCAGGAATGACGTTTCGCGAATTCGGATCGTTTGCATTAGCTATGCAGTCAGATAAGGGAATGTGAGAAGAGTTATTCGTGGAGAGAAGAGAGGTATGTGTGGGTGTAGGAAGGATTTGATTTCGACCAATTTGGTCTCTCGTGCTGTTACGGGTATGAGGGCGGTTTTCACTTCCCGGCTGCCGACACCGTGGAAGGTCGTTTCTTGAGGGACCTGAAAAGGAAGATAGATTAGGGTTGGTCTTGGAGACCTGGAAGCGTGAGTCCAAGGGACTACTGCTTGAGGCCGGTCACACACGGCCTTTTTATGAAGGGTTTTCTGAGTATTAGCTCCGCTCTTAAAGGCCCTTAGTGGGCACCCTTACCCAAGGAGACGGAAATCCATGAGGTAGGGTGAGGTGTGACATTTTTAGAGTCGAACTTTTCTAACCCTTCCTTCCTTGTGAGAAGGCAGCATCGCAGCAGATGCTGGTTGTCTGAGAGAAACACCTTACTGCTGTCACACCCCTCTGCAGTCAGCAGCACGACTTCGCCCTCAGACCTTGGGTAGCTGCTTTTAGTCTCATCGTTCTCCAATCGACCTGTCTGGCATGGTAGAACCTTGAGGAACATATGTTCCAGCTAGTGTAGCTCGGTCGGGTCATCACGATAGGCAAGCCCGACCACCACGTCAAAGTAGCAGCTACGGTCGGGATGGCAACATGAACTTATGTACATACGTACGAAGTTCTACGTTGCAACTGACTGACGGACTTACTGGACGTAGGAAAGATATCGCAAGGAAACCTAATAGGGTTCTACTTAATGATAGCTTAGCTAAGAATAGATTTCAAGAACAACTAAGAAAACAGTTAGGCAGCCATATAGTAAGTGATGCTCACCGTGAGGTAGCTTGGAATGATGTCAGAAAGGCTGTGGAAACAGCAGTGATATCTGTTTGTAAGGTAAACCATAAGGTTAGGGATAAACCGTGGATTTCAGTAGCATCTACCGAACTGATAGACTCTCGGAAACTCATCTTGTTTGGCTGTGAGTACGATGAGGAGCGTAGTCACTTTGGGCTCAGGCTGATGAAAAGCTTACGAAATGATCGTGAAAAGTAGTGAGAAGCCGAGGCTAGAGAGATGGAAAAGGTAGCGGTGATAGGCAACAGTAGGCAACTATTTAGACTCATCAAGCACACCGGTATTAGGAACCCGAATGTGAGTGAGACTATCTCGGAAAAGGTTGGTCGTATTATCCCTTCCCAATCCATGAGATTGGACTGTTGGCAGAACACTTCAGGGACCAGTTCAACTGGCCTTCAGCTACACTTCGGTTGCTCACGATCTCCACTCATCCTGAATGGCGAATCGGTTTAAGTTGTCCGACTCTTTATGAAGTTGAGAAAGCTATAGAAAATCTGAAGCGAGGGAGAGCAGCAGGTCCTTATAGGTTACCCCTGAGGTTTTTCAGGATAGTGATCCAGTTTTAGCAGCTTGATTGACTGAGGTTTTAAGTAAAATCTGGGAACTGGACGTAATACCATCCGACCGGTCTCAATCACTGATTGTCCCAATTTATAAGAAAGGACAAAAGTCTTCTTGTGACAATCACAAGGGAATCAGTCTGTGTGGCAGGTCTGTCATTAAAAGGTGTATCAAAAATGTACGTTAACCTTATACAATCTCTCTACTCGGATACTGCAGTTCGAGTAAGAGCCTATGGCGAACTTTCATCGGAATTCTTTACTTCAAGTGGTGTCCGTCAGGGTTGTCCACTTTCCCCAGTCTTGTTTAATTTTTTTTTCGTAGATATGATTTTAGAGTTAATATTATCATTGTCTGACTCTTGAGGAGTGGACCTTTTACCAGGAGACTCACTTGCTGACATGGAACAACTAACCTAAGCAACAATGCAAGCATGTTTGGAATGCGGTTTTCTCACTCGAAATGCAAGAGTGGGTTGCACCGGCACCTGAACTAGTGATAGGGAGTGAAGTAGTCGAATGTGTAGACCGCTTCACTTATCTCAGGAGTCTCATCACTGCTGATGGCCTGGTGACTGACGAAATCTCAGCAAGGATACAGAAGGCTCGATTGGCTTTTGCCAACCTGCGTCACTTATGACGTAGGCGAGATGTCCGTTTGCTGACTAAAGGACGAGTGTACTGCACAGTAGTTCACTCTGTCTTACTTGATGGCCGTGAAACATGGCCAGTGAGAGTAGAAGATATTCGTAGGTTATTGGTTTTCGATCATAGATGTCTTTGAAGCATTGCTCGTATATCGTGGAACACCCGAGTGAGCAACGCTGTTATTAGGACATGGGTGCTAGGTAAGAATGGCAGATCAATAGATGAAGTATTGAAACTTCATCAGTTGAGGTGGTTGGGACGTGTTACGATCTATCATAATTGCTAGGCAGTATTCGTTTCACACTTTTATTGTGACTCATACTTGAGTATCTGATGAACGAATTTGAAAATTCGCTTGCAGCGGTGACCTCTAAACAATTACAAATACTGGAAGTCCGCGAATCATCCTGTCTCTATTATTCATCCTGAAATGTTCTTAAGGTGTTGTTCGTTTGAGCAAATGACTTGATAGATCAAAATAAATTCGGGGAACTGGGTGGACATTATCGTTTCGTAATGAAGCAGTGGCTGTGATAAACTTTGAAAAAGTTTGCTAAGCTTATGCAGCGATAGTCACTGATGTTTAGTAAAACGCTAGATGTTATATTTAACTAGAAATTTAGAGACACAAGTAAATGCAGCCGCATCACTCACTACCTACCGATTTCGCATTCGCCTTGCGTCTCCAGCTACCGACTTTGGATACTTCATGGACCACTCAGCTTGGATTGATACTCTGTGGTCTGCGCGCCCCCCCCCCTAGTTTCTTTATAACTTATGTTAGCTAGCTTTGTATTTCTATAACGTTTCTAAACGACCTCAGTATATAGCCTCATCAACTAACGTGAACTTTGTAACAAGTACCCTGCACCCCAACTTCAATATTGTTCACCGATGCTTCCTCCACATTTAGGAAATGCTACAAATACCTGCATCGTTCGTATGTTTTCTACTTTTGTATAGATTACATTCTACAACCATAAAGTAATACAAATTGCATTTCTGTGCAATGAACTTGTCCTCTGTTTGACAAACATGTTTTTTTTTTTGTAAGTGACGCAAGTTGATGAAGCGCAGTGAGCATTTCGAATTTGTACCTGCACTTTTTTTCTTAGATAACCAGATTCAATAAAGCCCCTAAAACAAGTAAAATGACCTAAATCCTGTTGACCTGTTTAAGTGATGGTGCCGACCGACCTAGAAGTTAAATTTTTCATTTATAAATACAGATACTTACATTGCCAATCAAGATGATCACAAGAACATAAATTATGTTGGCATCTTCACTAAATGTGACTAAACTTGCCAGCCATTTAAATTAGCTGTTTTCGTTTTGGGTTGCGATTACTGCATGCAGTAAAATCCAGCGAGACTTAACGATTATCTTCTGAGTTACCCTTGGCGCTGTTACCGCATAGACTACTACTACTAATCTAGTGCTTGAGAGGTTTCTACAAAACTTTCAATTTTACAGGTCTTATTTTATCAATGTGACAAAATTAAACCAGTGACTGTTGTCTGTGAATAAGTAAATTATTTTAGTTCGTCACTGCAAATTTTATGTGTTATGCTCTCTCTCTCTCTCTCTCTCTCTGTAGATACTTTTTTTTTTTAAACTAAACAAATTATAATAGGATGGAATAAATGTTTATAAGACTGAATTATCAAATTCTAAAATACCTTTCACAATTAATTATAATTGCACGTACAATTTTTAATTTCTGTTTTAGGAAATCTTTCCAAATGAATGAATGAATGAGAGGTCCGATGAACTATATTTTTTCTTTTCTGAACTTTTCGTCGTAACTTTACGTGTTGTCAATGTCGTGTGAAAGAATAACTGGTATGATGATTCTTATTAACCCTATTATTCTATTAACCCTAACCCTAACCCACATGATTTGAGGTCTTGTTAATTCAGTCAGACTGTCTAATTCAAGATTGCTAGTGAAATGAATGAATGAATGAGGAGATTTCATCTTGTCAGACCACAATATGAAACTAATATCGATCAACTCTAAATTAATTATCATTATTATTATTATTATTATTATTATTATTATTATTATTATTATTGATTTAAGATTTTTAAAGATTCCCATTGTGAAAATTAGAACAACACATATAAGCGAACAATACTGTTGTTTTCGATTAGATCGTCATCAGGCTGCTTTACTCTAATATACATGAATATTTATATGAAAATGTAAAACCAATCAAGGCAATTTGAGTGATAATCACAATGAAATGAAATAGAGATTACGTCACTACATCTAATAGGCAAAAGTTCAAGTGGATAATAGGAAAACAGGTGTACTGATAGTAGTAAGAAAATTTGTAAAATATGATAACTAAAGTAGGTCAAGGGTGGATGAATAGAATTCAAATAATCATCAAAAACATCAAAAACATTACGTAATAAGCAAATGTGTAAAAATAAAATGAAATAAAAAAACTGAAAAAATAATAAAAATATGTCAATCATTAGTTACGTCATATCCGGCCACGGAAGAGATAGGGGTGTCACGAATTTCTTCTGAACACATAAATTAGGGTTGAATGTACGTATTCCTATGGCTTCTGCAATGTGTAGGAGACGGGATCGAACTCCGTTGGGAAATGATGGAGGTATACGATAGATCACCCGAAAAGATCTAGATTTATCTACAATGTGACCACTATCTACCAGGTGTGCTAAGATAGAACTGCGTATTGTTTTTGACTGACCCTTCGTAAACCATGCTGGGAGATGTTCACTCATTCGTTGGTTAAGTTGCCTGGAAGTACGCCCGATATAGCTATCTCCACAGGAGCAGCTGAATTTGTAAATGCACATAGAGGAGGCCAGCTCAGGTAACTTATCTTTCGTTTGAGTAGACAACGCAGGTCGACTGGAGTAAGTCAATGCAAGTTTTGCAGCGTTGAATGTTCTGTTAATTACTCTTCTTAATCTATCCTGCAGAGTATCGCAGGCCACATCTCCGTTGAATTGTAGCTTCATAAACAAAGGCTTCTTTCGGGCAGTCGAAACCACCGACTTCTTTTTTACGGCAGACATATACTTCTTTAAGAATGCGCTTGGATAACCAATCTCGGTTAGTGAGCCGTTGATGAATTCCAGCTCCTGACTTACAGTATCCATTGAACATATCATATTTGCTCTGTAAGTGAGACATCTAACCAAATTTCTTTTGTAGCGGATAGGTGTAAAACTACAAAATAAAATATAAATATTCATGTATATTAGAGTAAAGCCTGATGACGATCTAATCGAAAACAATAACATTGTTCGCTTATATCTGTGTTATTATTGATTTAACCAATTTCATGTCTTGCACAAAAATAACTTCCTAAGAATGACTACTAATTAATTTGAATAGTATGTTCCTTGACCAGTATTCCCATTTTACTCTGCTGATTGTGTTATCGGAATAGCTTCTTCATGAGGTAGGTATAAAATTTTTTTCACCTAAGAATCAGATTTCGATGCTTATAGATAGAGATAATTAATGATTAGCTTCAAGAAACTCAGTAATATGAGCATCTTTGTATGTATTCAATTAGTCGGTTACAGCGTAGAACTACATACGTACTGTGTACATCAGTTCAAGTTGCCGTATCACATTGGCACAGAGACGCAATGGTCAATTCAAATCTCATAAGAGTAGAGGTAATAGACTTATTAACAGTAATAGGAAATAGCAAGCAGCAACAATATCTGCTAATAAGGTAAAGCATAAAGTTAAGGGGAGAAACAATGGATTTCATCAGCGTCAACTAAACTGATAGATGCTCACAAACTCACCCAGTCTAGCTCTGAACATGACGAAGAGCGGAGTCAGCTTAAGTGCAGTCTGAAATGTAGCGTACGCATCGATCGTGAACAGTATTGGGTAGCAAAAGTAAGAGAGATGGAAAAGGCAGCAGCTGTCGGTAACAGTAGACAATTATTCAGAGGTTATCAAGGAAACCGGAATTATGAATCCGAGTTTTTGGTGAGACTATTTCAGAAAACGATGGGCTTATTATTCATTCCCAATCCAGGAGATTGGATCGATGGACAGAATATTTTTGAGACCAGTTCAACTGGCTTTCAACCACATTTTGGTTACCTACTATCTCCAGTCCAAAAAGTTTAGAAGAACCATAGAGGATGTGAGAACCAAGAGAGGAGCTGACATAGCTTCAGATCAACACTTGCTGGTCGCCAAAATGAAATTGAAACTAAAGAAGAACTGGACAACGGGGCAGAGAACATCATAGAAGTTTAGTACGACCTTTCTTCGGGATACTGGTAAACTCAACGAATTCAAGATAGCCCTCAGCAATAAGTTCCAGTCCTTGCAGGATCTACTCAGTGGAGAGGAAACAACCATGGCGAACAATTCGGAATGGATCAAAGGGGAGGTGATCACTTCAACATGTCAGGAGGTCCTGGGTCACAAGAAGTACCATCACAAGGAATGGATCTCTGTAGGTAGGAGGAAGAAGAGGGCAGCAATCAATGTCAGCCGAACAAGAGCAGAGAAAGTTAAGGCACAAGCTGAATACACAAAAACAAACAGGTAAGTGAAGAAAAGCATCAGAGCCGACAAAGGTAAAAATGTGGAGGATCTAACAACGACAGCGGAAAAGGCTGCAAGAGAAGGAAACTTGTGACAATTGTACGATACAGCGAAGAAGCTCGCTGGAAACCATGGTAAACCAGAACGACCAGTGAAAAGCAGGGAAGGCAAAGTATCGTAAAGTAGCAAAGTAAGAAGAGCGGCAAAGCAGCAGGACCAGAAAACATTCCAGCAGAGGCAATGAAAACAGACGTGGAAGCAACTGCAAAAATACTTCACATTCTCTTTAACAAGATTTGGGATGAGGAACAAGTACCGACAGACTGGAAAGAAGGATACCTGATCAAAATACCAAAGAAAGGCGATCTGAGCAAGTGTGAGAACTACAGAGGCATCACTCTTCTTTCAATACCAGGCAAAGTCTTCAACAGGGTATTGTTAAACAGAATGAAGGACTTCGTAGACACCTAACTTCGAGATCAACAGGCCGGATTTCGTAAGGATCGATCGTGTACTGACCAAATTGCTACATTACGGTTCATTGTGGAACAATCAATTGAATGGAACTCACCACTCTACATCAACTTCATCGACTACGAGAAAGCATTCGATAGCGTGGATAGGAAAACACTGTGAAGGCTTCTTCGGCACTACGGTGTGCCTGAGAAAATAGTTAACATCATACGGAATTCTTATGGTGGATTCAACTGCAAAATTGTAGACGAAAGACAGCTAACAGACTCTTTCGATGTGAAGACCGGTGTGAGGCAAGGTTGCTTACTCTTACCCTTTCTCTTCCTCCTGGTCATCAACTGGATTATGAAAATGTCAACATCTGGAGCAAAGCACGGTATCAACTGGACAGTTAGGACGCAGCTGGACGATTTGGACTTCGCAGATGACCTGGCTCTTCTATCTCACATGCAACAACAAATGCAAGAGAAGACGACCAGTGTAGCAGCAGCCTCTGCAGCAGTAGGTCTCAACATACATAAAGGAAAAAGCAAAATTCTCCGACGCAACACAACATGCATCAACCAAATCACTGTTGATGGAGGTGCCTTGGAAGACGTTAAAACCTTCACATATCTTGGCAGCATCATCGACGAGAAAGGTGGATCCGATGCAGATGTGAAGGCACGGATTGGCAAAGCAAGGGCTGCATTTCTACAGTTGAAAAATATCTGGAACTACAAACAACTTTCAACCAAAACCAAAATCAGAATTTTCAATACAAATGTCAAGACAGTTCAACTGTATGGAGCAGAAACATGGAGAACTACCAAAGCCATCATCCACAAGATGCAAGTGTTTATTAACAGTTGTCCTCGCAAACTACTTCGTATTCGTTGGCCAGACACCATCAGCAACAACGTACTGTGGGAGAGAACAAACCAGATTCCAGTTGAGGAGTAAATTAGAAAGAAGCGGTGGAAGTGGATAGGACACACTACGAAAAGCACCTAACTGCGTCACAAGACAAGCCCTCACATGGAACCCTCAAGGCAAAAGGAAAAGAGGAAGGCCAAAGAATACATTACGCCGAGAAATAGAGAAAGATATGAGAGGAATGAACAAAAACTGGAAAGAACTGTAAAGGGAAGCCCAGGACAGAGTTGGTTGGAGAAAGCTGATGGGCGGCCTATGCCCCATTTGGGGTAACAGGCGTAAGTAAGTAAGTATGATCTTCAGTCAACCTAAATGGCAAATCGATGTAAGTTCTCCAACTCTAATCGAAATTAAAAAGGATATTGGAAATCTAGGCAAGGGAGAGCAGCAAGGCTCTGAGATTTTTAAGGATGGCGGTCATTCTTAACAGTTAGGTTAACTGAGATCTTAGCTGCAATCTGAGAACTGGAAGTAATCCCATCTGACTGGTCTCAATCGCTGATTGTCCGAATTTATAAGAAAGGACAAAAGTCCTCTTGTGACAATCACATCCGCACCCATAAGCAACAATGCAAACATGTTCGGGATGCGGTTCTCACTCTCGAAATGCAAAATGTTGCTTCAAGATTGGGTTTCATCGGTACCTGAACTAGGGATAGGGAGTGTGAAGTAGTCGAACATATAGACTGCTTCACCTATCTGGGGAGTCTCATCAGCGCTGATAGCCTGGTGACTGACGAAATCTCAGCACGGATACAGAAAGCTCGTTTGGCTTTTGCCAACCTGCGTCACTTATGACGTAGGCGAGATATCCGTTCGCTGATTAAAGGACGGGTGTACTGCGCAGCAGTTCGCTCCGTTCTCCTATATGGATGCGAAACATGGCCGTTAAGAGTAGAAGATGTTCGTAGGTTACTAGTATTCGATCATAGATGTTTAAGAAGCATTGCTCGTATATCGTGGGACAACCGAGTAAGCAATGCTGTCGTTAGGGAACGAGTACTAGGTAAGGATGGCAAATCAATAGATGAAGTAATGAAACTTTATCATTTGAGGTGGTCGGGACATGTGTTGCGTTTGCCTAACCACCGACTGCCTCGACGAGCTTCGTTTTGTAGTGTAGGAGTAGTTTGGGGCTGCCAGACCAAAACATGGCAGAAATCCATGAAGTCACTGACAAGTGGACTTAGCCATGTCGGTAATTGTCGACTACCTTGTTGGGGTCCGCGAGATGATAATAATCGATGGTTAGAGACCCTGAATGACATGGCTCAAAATCGTTTGCAATGGCGCAAGTGCATCCATTCATTGTGCTCTCTCAAATCCTAATCTTCTGGATTCGTCAGCACCTCTACCTTTGTCTTTCTAACCTTATCTCACTGAATTATACTTCCTGAATAATATTTTCAAACCCTAGTCTTCTTCATTACCATTAATACCTCTACTGTCTTTATCACTATGGGAATTTGATTTGACATTCGCGTCTCTGTGCTCATGTGGTGGTATGGCAACATGAACTTATGTACATACGTACGAAGTTTTACGTTGCAACTAACTAACTAATACTTTCTGTAGGTTTTTGTCAATTTTTTCTTTCTGAATTACTATTTTCATTTTTAATTAAAATTTATCAAATTAACAGTGTGAATTTTTTTATTTTTGGATCAATTTCAATTTAGTCTGATCATTTTTAAGTGCTCTTCTAACAAAGCTTTTATATCGGATGTTGAATGTGTGTGTGCGTGTGTGTGACATGATAAGTTTGTAAAGTTGATCACAAAATTGTAAATAGTTTGTATTATATAGTCTAACAGCAGTCAGTCAGTCAGTTAGATGCAACGTAGAACTTCGTACGTAAGTACATCAGTTCATGTTGCCATACCACCAAATTAGCACAGAGATATCATTGTCAATTCAAATCCAATAGAGTAGTAGAGGTAGTAAAGGTATTAGAAGTAATCGGAGAGGTTAGGATTAGAAGATATTATTCAAGAAGTATGAATCAGTGAGATAAGTTTAGTAAGTCAAACAAAACTAGAGGTGTTGAAGAATCCAGAAGATTTAGGATTTGAGAGAACACAGAAAATAAATGCACCGGTGCTATTGCGAACGATTTTGAGCCATGTCATTCAAGGTCTCTGACCATCGATTATTATCATCTCGCGGACCCCAACCAGGTAGTCGACAATTACCGGTATGGCTAAGTCCACTTGTCAATGACTTCATGGATTTGTGCCATGTTTTGGCTGCCCATAGCTTTCTTCCAACCTACTCCTACACTACAAAACAAAGCTCGTCGAGGCAGTCGGTGGTTATGCATAGGCGTCACATGTCCCAACCACCTCAATTGATGAAGTTTCACCACTTCATCTATTGATCTGCCATCCTTACCTAGTAACTGTTTCCTAATAACAGCGTTGCTCACTCGGTTGTCCCACGATGTACGAGCAATGCTTCGAAGACATCTATGATCGAAAACCTTTAGGTTTTTGTCTATTTTTGTTTCTGAATTACTATTTTTCATTTAACTAAAATTTATCAAATTAATAGTGTGAATTTTGTTTCTTATTTTTGGATCGATTTCAATTTAATCTGATCATTTTTAAGTGTTCTTCGAACACAGCTTTTATATCTGATGTTGAATGTATATATATATATATATATATTCTCTGAAATTTTATGTATACAGACAGCATTTAAACCATTGGTTTGAAATGTAATGAATGGTTTTAGAATTTCAGTTTGATCTGTGATTAATTTTTTTTTCTACTGATCACTCACTTCCCGCATTCACTGCTCACCACCTACAACAACAACTAACTATCCATACATACTTCCGACCTTGAATTCATCGGTTTGCTTATATATATAATTTGTGTTATTTTTGCAGTTTCCTTTAGACTTACAAGTATTTTGTACTACTTGCAGAATCTTGATTATCGCTTGCAACCCCTTACAAATGGACATATATATATATATATATATATATATATATATATATGAGTGAATTCTTCATGGTCTTTTTTCCAGATCCTCGTTTATCTGTGGCCATTCTCACAGTCAGTGATACATGCTCAAAGGATATTTTACTTGATCAAAGTGGTCCTGTTGCTGAAAGCCTGCTTCAAGAGGCAGGATTTGCTGTTCCATTGAGAGATTGTGTCCCAGACGATCGGGATATTATTCGTTGTGTACTAATGAGATGGATATCTTCTCGTCAAGTAGACGCTGTATTTACATTAGGCGGTACAGGTCCATCTAGAAAGGATGTTACTTCGGATATAATTCTTGAAATAGTTCCTCAAAATCAACGTCTACCCGGAATTGAACACTATCTTTATTCTATTTCACTTCAAAACACCCCAATGGGTGCTTTATCTCGATTTGTAGCTGGAGTATGTAATGCGACCCTGTTAATAACATTACCAGGTAGTGCTCGCGCAGCTTCTCAATGTATCCCTGTTATTCTTCCAATAGTGAAACATGCTATCCATCAAATCAAAGGTTGGGATCATCTTGTAAAACAGAAACATCCAAATCAGTATAATATGGATAAAAGTATATTAACAAGCGCAGATCCATCAACTACTACATACAGTGTTGTTAATCGTTGTAGACAATCTAATTATCCAATGATATCAGTTGATGAAGCAATTAAGAAAATATTCACTGTTTGCAATTTTGAATTGGGCATTGAAGCTGTATTTCATAAAAATGCTTTAGGTCGTGTTCTTGGTCAAAGCTTAAAGTCACGTCAATGCATTCCTCCATTTAATGCAAGTATAATGGATGGATATGCTATTCGATTTAATGATGGTGCTAGTCAGTTGAAAGTTATTGGAGTGTTATATTGTGGCGACGACAAATGTTCAGCTAGAGAGCTAGTAGTAGTTACTCCAGGCACTTGTGTTCGCGTGAATACTGGCGGTCCTATACCTTCTGGAGCTGATTGTGTCATTCCATTAGAAAACACTAAACTTATTTCTAAACGAAAAGCTGGACCCATGGATTTGTATTCAGAAGAAGAAGATATCATTGAAGTGATAATTCCACCTAAAACTATTGGACAATTCATTCGTCCAACTGGTATTGATTTAAGCACAAAAGATATTTTTCGGCGAGGATTGCGACTTGGTTCAACGGAATTAGGTTTGATTTCTGGTGCAGGCTTGTTAGCGCCTTGGCCAATTAATCATTTAGATTGTATTAAAGTAGATAACGATCCAATACCGAACACAGTGTTAGATCTCCTTTCAAAAGGTGGATACTTACCTTGTTTAAAACAATGTAACATTGCTGTTTTATCAACTGGAAATGAGATTTTAGACTGTGTCTGTGTCTCTGAAATGAAACCTATCGTAAGAGACAGTAATCGGCCTGTTTTAATCAATCTACTGTATAAACATAACTACTATAATGTTATAGATTGTGGCATTTTAAATGATGATCGAAAATCTCTTATACTAGGCTTGTCAAGAGCTTTAACTCTATGTGATATTCTTATTACAACAGGTGGTGTAAGTATGGGTGAACGTGATATGGTTAGCCAAATATTAATTGAACATTTTAATGCTACTGTTCATTTCGGTCGTGTGTTTATGAAACCTGGAAAACCGACGACATTTCTGTCGATACCTCGTCATAATAATAATAATATTAATAATAATCCAGATGTCACCAATACTACTTATACGAACGATATAAGTAGTATAAGAATGGACGTGAAAGAAGAAGAAGTCTCACGGTCAGAAGAGGAAAACGGAAAGCAAAAAGAGCAAAAGCCTCTCACTACTACTACTACTACTACCACCACCACTAATCTAAAACCTGTGTTAGCATTTTGTCTACCAGGTAATCCTGTGTCATGTTATGTCACAGCACATCTATTTGTTTTGCCTTTGTTAAGAAAATTGGATTTGCGACCACCTGAAGAATGGTGTTTCCCAAATATTCGTGTACAATTATTACATTCTGTTAGGTTGAGTGATCGTCCAGATTATAGACGTGCAAAATTAATTTGGAAAAACACTTCAAACTATCCTAATCAACCTTCCATACCTTGTGCATCTTGTACGAGTATTGAAAATCAAATGAGTTCTTGTCTAGCTAGTTGTCTTGATGCAAATCTGTTATTAGTACTACCACCTATGATTGATGAGAAACCACAAGAAATTCCTGCTAATTCTATTGTTAATGCTTTGATTATTGATTCTATATTTTGAAGATGAATAAACACTGATCACTTAACTTACTACTACTACTACTACTACTACTATTTTGTTTTTTATTTTCCTAAAGATGAATAAAATATTCTTTAAATTAAACATATGAAGATTTTTTTATTGTCGATTTAGTCTTTTTTGTTGTGTGACTATGAGTGGTGATGGTATGCATAAATATTCACCAATTTTAATTCATGTTCATAGGATGATGATTGGGTTGACTACTCTCCTAAATGAAATTAATCTATGAGTAATTAGTTAATTAATTAAGTGGCTGTGAACCATGGCCAGTGAGAGTAGAAGATATTCGTAGGTTATTGGTTATTGATCATAGATGTCTTTGAAGCATTGCTCGTATATCGTGGGACAACCGAGTGAGCAACGCGGTTATTAGGACACGGGTGCTAGGTAAGAATGGCAGATCAATAGACGCAGTAGTGACACTTCATCAGTTGAGGTGGTTGGGATATGTGTTACGAATGCCTAACCACCGACTGCCTCGAAGACCTTTATTTTGTAGTGTAGGAGTAGGTTGCAAGAAAGTTAGGGGCGGCCAAACCAAAACATGGCAGAAATCCATGAAGTCATTGACAAGTGGACTTAGCCATGTCGGTAATTGTCGACTACCTGGTTGGGGTCCGCGAGATGATAATAATCGATGGTCAGAGACCTTGAATGACATGGCTCAAAATCGTTCGCAATGGCGCCGGTGTATTTATTCTTTGTGTTCTCTCAAATCCTAATCTTCTGGATTTTTCAACACCTCTAGTTTTGTTTGACTTGCTAAACTTATCTCACTGAATCATACTTGTTGAATAATATCTTCTAATCCTAACCTCTTCGATTACTTCTAATACCTTTACTACCTCTACTACTCTACTGGATTTGAATTGACAATGATATCTCTGTGTGCTGATGTGGTATGGCAACATGAACTGATGTACTTACGTACGAAGTTCTACGTTGCATCTGACTGACTGACTGACTGATTTTCATCGAAGCAATTTAAATTCCTCACTTACATAATCTCAACACACACAGAGAGTAACCTTACCATTTTTTTTCATGTACTGAAATAGTTCTACAGAGGAGAATCCTCTGATTTTTGGTTAAAGTTAAAAACAAAACCTTGCTACAACACTCTAAGGTTATTGATAACTATAGATATTTTAATTAGATTCGATAAAGTATGCCGGTATATTGGAATGGCGTAACAAACTTGTTTTTTCAAGACTTTAAGTAGTATAAACTGTTTCGTTGTACAGCAATTTGCTTTCTATTCAGCGTATCGATTTCTTTTTTTACCTCTCAATAATAACCAATTTGGATTACAGGGGTTGTGAAGATTGTTAAGTTACACATTGTTTGAAACCATGAATCGATCAATGTTAGACCACCATTAGAAACCTGGAAGCACTGGACGGCCGTTTCGTCCTTGTATGGGACTGTGTATGAGGTTGCGCAACTCCGTGATTTTAATCAAGTTAGACATTAACGCCGTTAGATTCCGGCTCAATGGTCTAACGGTTAGGGCGTTCGCGCACAATACCGAAGGTCCTGGGTTCGAATCCTGCGGGCTGCAGGAGTCGTGGATCCGCACTGCTGAGGAGTCCCATACTATGATGAAACGGCCGTCCAGTGCTTCCAGGTTTCTAATGGTGGTCTAACATTGATCGATTCATGGTTTCAAAAATGAATAATCAATTTGACAATGCCAATTAAAAATAAGACTACTAATGACTGACCATTTGTGTTTTATTGCGATTTCAATTCGAATTAGATGGTGGTGTAGCTCACATTTGTCATACTTTATGCGAAAGCTACTGATACAAAGCAGTGATCGATCATGTAATAACTGGTTGACAGTTAAATACTTTAACACTAACCAATATTCCAAGTTAAAAGTTGATAACTATACACTAGACTATGTGGAATCATGCATAATTGTTAGGATGGTTGATTGATAATTTGTCGGTAATCTGCTTATTATTTTTTTTTAAAGTCTTTTATTGGTTAAATATGTTCGTGCTTGAGATGGTGGAGAAAACTTGTAGCTCAGTTGGATGATTGTGGTGGTGGTGTTTCGTTCTCTGAGATGGTTGTTTTGATTATGGAGCTTTCATTGTTCTGCTGAACAACATCATCAGCACAAACTTCAGATACAAGTGAAGCGTTCGAATTTCTCCACGTTTGACCTGTAGCTTGTTCTGCTAACCTCGATCTTGATTGGTTGTTGTTGTCTTTTGACCTGTCGTTGTTTGCAACTTTGTTTTGATTGCATCCCCCATTTGATCTGTTTCTTGATCCTGTGTCACCTAAGATTTTTCTGATTGGTTGATAAATTGAGTCAATGTCGATGTGTTTGTTGATTGGCCTGAGTGCCAAGCTTCTAAAAATTCTCTGGTGTTCTTTGTCCTCCTCCTACCGAGTATTTCCACATTGTTCCAATCAAATGTGTGTCCATAATTGTCGGTATGTATTGATATAAGCGAAGCGTTGTCGTGGCGTGTGACTGCTAATTGATGTTCACGTAAACGGAGCTGAAGAGGTCGTCCACTTTGTCCTATGTAGTGTTTTTCACAGTTTGAGCAATTTATTTTGTAGATGACATTTGGTTTTTCTTCCTTTGTCATTTTGTCCTTTGGTCTGCATTGGATTGATTGAAGTGATTCTGTTGGTTTGTGTGCCACACCTATTCCAAACGGTTTCGGCAGTCGTGCTGTATGCTCCGGTATGTCTTTGATGTATAGTAGGATGATGCGTTTATTTGTTTCTGTGCTTGATTTCGCTTCTGATGATGGTTTCGGTTGATGTTTTTTGATGAAGTTGTGTGGATAGCCATCTCAACATTGATAGTTTTCCTTCTTAATGCTTCTGCTCTTAATTTCTCATGACAAACTGTTTTTAGGTTGATATTCAACATTTATTATTTGATACTGTTTGAATTTTTGATTTTGAAAAATGTTTGTAATTTAATTGAAATTATTGTAAAATGTGCTCACTAGTGACTAGCTTCTTCGTGAGGAAATTCTCGAAGTTCTCTAGTAATGAGAAGACGTGACCAGTGGAGTTCAACCCTCTGTCGGATGTAGGCAGTAATAACTACCGAATACAAATGGGTGAGGTCGCGCAAAATCCCTAAAGCAATCAGAGTTAGACATTAACACCGTTAGATGCCCGGTCCAGTGGTCCGATGCTTAGGCCTTCGCGTCCCGGGTTCGGATCCTCGAGTCGTGTTTGCGCACTGCCACTGACGAGTCCCCCGTACCAGGACGAAATGGCCGTCCAGTGCATCCAGGTTTCTAATGGTAGTCTAACAATGATTGATTGATGATTTCAAATGTGTAAAAAAACACTAATCCCCATCACTCTAATCAAAAATTTAAATTATATTCCTAGTTTGAAATCAATTATTGTTACTCTGTGTCCTAATGTGTAAATACCAAGAGTTTTTTGAATATCTTATTGTCAAAACCGTTGAATGATTCTTAAATTCATACAGTGTAAGATTATAAACATTAGTAAAGTGAATTGACACTTATCCTACTATGAATTCAAAATGACTTTTTTTCTTTATGACAAATAATGTCACTAAGCATTAATGAGCAGTAAAGTACCCGTCAGTCAGTTAGTCAGTCTCTTACACTTGCCTTTGGTCACATTCTAAACATTTGGAGTATTCAATGAACTTGCCTGAATATGAATGACTAACCTAAATGAATTTATAAAATTGTTAAAGTATTTTTTTTCTGAATTTGACACTGTAGTGAAGGAGAAAGCAAGTGTTGTAACACTGGACAAGTTGCCAAGAATCAAAACACGGTTGAACAGAAAAAGATTGTATTTCAAAATAGCAAGGAATAAGAAGCCAGAGTTGATGGCGAAGGCAAGAATAGATACAACGTTAGTCTATTTATAGCATTTACATAGAAAACGTCTGGATAGAAATTCACGTGATCGACTGGATTAGATTTAACCAATCAGCACGCAGCTAACAACACGAGAATCTTCTACCCTGTTCTCCAAGATTCGATCAGGCGCTGATTGGATAGGAAATTGGCCAGTCAGCGCGCAGCAACATAGTCATGCTTTAATTCCATCTATGTCCGTCCCACTAACAACAAGTGAGGGCAACCGAATTGTATTTATCGCAAAATTACAGAGTTAGTTGGTAAATCGTTAATTTGCAAAATATCAATCCATCATCATATCGAACTGGACTGTTCCTGTTGCAAACAACATCAATCCATCATTGTCTGACATTTCACTCTGTTCATGCGTGTTTCATACACAAATCCCATTGTGTTCCCACTCTTCGTTTCTTGATCTTCCCCTCCATCTTCTGCTGCCAGACATTACGTTTTTTTACTCGCGTCATATACTACTTATAAGTAGCGCGCACCACAACACTATCAATTTTCAATTCTCATCATACTTTACGGTGATAGTTAGTAGAATATTCGACAGAACTACTTAAGCATAGATTAGTTTTTACTTTAAAACCTTTGCATTAAATTCATTTCTAAGATTAAAAATGAACCATTTATTTCTTATTCTTTAAATTTCAGAATACTTTTAATATATATATATATATATAATATGAAACCGAAACTTCCAAAAACTATTTCAGCCTGGCAACTAATGAGATTTTTACCACCTGGTTCAGTGAACATTGCATCGGAACTACATTTGACAAAAACTAGACGTATGCCAAGTATAACACGTCCAGATCAAGTACTGATTAAAGTTAAAGCTGCATCATTAAATCCTGTCGATTCGTTGCTTGTATACGGTTATGGTTCTACTAGTTTTAATCTATTACGTCGTTTTGCATCAAACTATGGTTGTTTTGGCCTACCCGATAATGCGACAACAGAGAACGCCAACTTTCCTTTTACTCCTGGTCGTGATTTTGCCGGTGAAATAGTCGACATCGGTTCAGAAGTTGCTTCATCTCGGTCAATCGGGAAGAGTAATAATAAATTAAGCATTGGTACTCATGTAGCCGGTGCTACATGGCCTTTTCTTAGTACTACAGGATCTGGTTCATTAGCTGAATATATTGTTTGTCCAGCTAATTATGTTACTCCATTACCGAGTAATGTTTCTTTCACATCGGCAGCTGCATTAGCCTATGCTGGATTAACTGCATGGTCAGCTTTAGTTGATTGTGGTGGAATCAACCCATCATCGTCGTCGTCATCATCGTCAGACTATTCAATTCTTATCACTGGTGCCACTGGTGGTGTAGGATTCATTGCAGCACAATTAGCTAAACTTTGGGGTTGGAAAGTTCATGTCACTTGTCCAAATGATAAAAAAGCATTAGATTTAATGAATATTTTACAAATTGATGAAGTAATTAATTAGTGATGTTTTCAATTAAACTTATGAAGTCAATCCATTGTTAGATGACCATTAATAAGAAACCTGCAAGCACACTGGAAGATGCCTGTTTCGTCCTGGTGTATGGGACTAGCTCATCAGCAGAGGTTAGACGTTCATGCATAATATCAAAGGTCCTGGGTTCGAATCCTGTGAGATGTGGGATTCGTGGATGTGCACTACCACTGATGAGTCCCCCCCGTACCAGGACGAAACGGCCGTCGGTCAGTGCTTCCAAGTTTCTAATGGTGCTCTGTCTAACAATGATTGATTGATTGATGTTTTCAAGCATGTTTTTATATTATCATTTTCTAAATACTTAAACACTAGATAACCATTTTGTACAATTTTATATTTGGTTTAAATTATTCTAACCTACCCACTAAATATGAGTTCAAACTATATTTTATTGGATATTTCACTGATAAACTTGATCAGATTTAATTAAACTAACTGTCTAATATTTACATGAACCATGATCAGTTTACTAATGCCATTATGAAGTTCATCAAACTATTAATCATGTATACTTTGATGAACTTCATAGTGGCATTAGTAAACTGATCATAATTCATGTAAATATTAGACAGTTACTTCATCAAACTATTATTCATGTATATGATGCGGTTTTCCTCCTCGAAATGCAAAATGTTGCTTCATGATTGGCTTGCATCCGCACCTAAACTAGTGATAGGGAGTGAAGTAGTCGAACGTGTAGACCGCTTCACTTGTCTCGGGACCGACCAAGCAATGCTGTCATTAGGAAACGAGTTCTGGTTAAGGATGGCAAATCAATAGATGAAGTGGTGAAACTTCATCAGTTGAGGTGGTTGGGACATATGTTACCAATGCCTAACCACCGACTGCCTCGACGAGCTATGTTTTGCAGTGTAGGAGTAGGTTGGAAGAAAGTTAGGGGCGGCCAAACCAAAACATGACACAAATGCATGAAGTCACTGACAAGTGGACTGAGTCATGTTGGTAGATGTAGGCTACGTGGTTGGGGTCCATTTGACGAAAGTCACCGATGGTTAGAGACCTTGAACTACATGGCTCAGAATCGTTTGCAATGGTGCAAGTGCATCCATTCGTTGTGCTCACTCAAATCCTAATCTTCTGGATTCGTCAGCACCCCTACCTTTGTCTTTCTAAACTTATCTCACTGATTTATACTTCTTGAATATTATTTTCAAATCCTACTCTTCTCCATTAGCAGTTATTCTTCTACCATCTCTACCATTATGGGATTAGAATTGACGATTTGCGTCTCTGTGCTCATGTGGTACGGCAACTTGAACTGATGTACTTACGTACGTTGTAACTGACTGACTAACTGGATAAACAGGCTCAGCATTAATGGCTATTAAAAATGTGAATTCCTTTCCTCTAATTGATTTCTCCGCTGGACTCACTGTCTATGACTGCTTATAACTGTATGGCATAAAAATCTTATTTCTCACTTACTCTTGTGTCCGATTTCGGCCTTGAATCGTCTATCAGGTTTAACATGATCTAGTCTCTGTGCAACGAGTATACAATCCAATGGTTGTATAAACTTGTATAAACCCATTCAATCTCATTGTACTCTCTGTTGTAAATTACCGCAAACACATCAAATGATTGGAAAACCTGTTCTGTTAAACGAATTAATAACGATAGATCGTTAGTAAAAGTTAAGATTATTTATCAACTTGGAATTAATCGTTTGTAGATAACAGTTTCTTTTTTTATGAAAATGATGTTATTTAAGAAGTACAGTGGAAATTTTCCTTGCTAATACGCATTAAAACTGCTATTTTCACTGTAATTCAACTAATTCCAGTTAAGATAATATTAAAAGTACTGTTAGTTTTTCTTTCTATTTTCTTCACATTTGAACTTAGCAGTTCACTATTCATATTTTTTTGGCTATCGGTTTTTGTCACTACGTGTTTGTTTCATTTTGGAAACCTCAATGATTGATTAGACGCTTAAAGAATGTGCTGATTCCTCTGGGTTGTCGTACCATGTTGAAAGTTATATGCAGTGTGATCAGTGTAATGGGTGATGCTGTGCAGTTCTCATAAATCTGACACTTGAAACTTTCAAATTGTTCAACAAATGAAATGTGTTTGGTGTTGGAGTCAATGCTACTTGGATGCAAAATGGCTTGTTATCCAATAACCAATTCAGTCGTGAACGATTCCAAAAAGGTATATTAGCAAGCGACATTGAGATAGTCCAAATGATGTCTGTACTATCAACACACAAATAATCTATGTCTAGACATTACAGTGAAACACATAACCGTTTGACCTACACGAGTTAAATTAAGAAAGATTAACCCCGAAGAGGTCCATATGGAATGATAACTCAAGAAAATAGATTGAAGCTCTAGCTCTCTATCTACACATTCAATAGAAAGTTGGATCAACTGAATGATCTACAATTTTAAGACTATAATAATAGGCCATTTAGTCTTCTGTCTTTTCCAAACACAATCTAACCATGTTAATTCATACTGGACAATATAATGTTTGATTGACTACTACTAATTACTTAACTTATAGCACTTTGTAATGAGCATTCATTATTCGATTGGATTTCGGATATCATCACTGACAACTTAAATCTCATAAAATAACAGTTGACTAATTTCCACTATTCTAAAATAAATTTCCATTTTTCTACCACCTGATTTTGAAATTTGTTCGTGAGTGTGTAGATTGTTTGAACTCATACAGGTAACAAGTTAATTAGCATCCTCCCATGTATATTCTTCACCACCAACTAATTGAAGATATGCATTTTTTTTAAGAATCTAATTGAAAAGCTAGCTAATATATGAATTGATAAATATGGTCAATTTAAACAAAATGTTTGATTATATTTGTTTAAAAATTATACTTTAAGTAGTATTCATTCTTTTATTCTATATATTTAGTAATGTCTACTATTACTATTGTAATTAATATTATTGTGCGAAACATGGCCGTTGAGAGTAGAAGATATTCGTAGGTTACTAGTCTTCGATCATTGATGTCATAGAAGCATTGCTCGTGTATAATGGGACAACCGACCAAGCAATGCTGTTGTTAGAAAACGAGTTCTAAGTAGGGATGGCGAATCAATAGATAAAGTAGTGAAACTTCATCAGTTGAGGTGGTCGGGACATATGCTGCGTATGCCCAACCACCGACCGCCTCGACGAGTTTTGTTTTGTAGTGTAGGAGTAGACTGGAAGAAAACTAGAGGTGGCCAGACCAAAACATCGCAGAAATCCATGAAGTTACTGACAAGTGGACTGAGTCATGTTGGTAGATGTAGGCTACCTGGTTGTGGTCTGCGAGACGAAAGTCACCAATGGTTAGAGACCTTGAACGACATGGCTCAAAATCGTTTGCGATGGCGCAAGTGCATCCACTCTTTGTGTTCTCTCAAATCCTAACCTTCTGAATTCCTCATCATCTTCATCTTTCTCTTTCTAAATTTATCTTACTGAATTATACTTCTCGAATCATATCTTCGCTCCCTAATCTTCTCCATTACTGCTAATACTTCTATTATTGCTATCACTCTTGTATGTGAACTGACAGTTGTGTCTCTGTGCTGTACTGTGGTATGACAACATGAACTGATGTACTTACGTACGTACGAAGTTCTACGTTGTATCTGTCTGTCTGTCTGTCTATTATTATTATTATTATTTGACTAAAGTCCAATTGAATTGTTAACATTCTCTCCTATCTTAACCTTTTTTTTTCTTCTTACTATTTTAGATATTTCCACATCCAACAAAAATTCCAACTACATTAAAATATGATTTAATACTAGATTGTGTTCGACCGGATTATTTAAAAACATCAACAACATCATCGTCATCCTCATCCTCCTCATCCTCTACAGATGGGAAACAATGTTCATTATTAATTGATCATTTAACACCACAACTTCCATCTATGCTAACTTATTTAAATAATTCATCAACACATGGTTCACATTATATGATGTTAAATCCACCATTATTATATTTGACTGATTATTGGGGACCATTCATTGGTAGTGGTTTAGCTTATTCACAATTATTCTATAGCAATTTAACAACTACTTTCTCGTCAACTACTACTAGTAGTAGTAGTAGTAATAGTAGTATCATTTCATCAAATCGACGGAATAAAATATGTTGGGTATTTTTTAAACCAAATAATAAAGCATTAAATTATCTTTTACAATTATTATCAAATCAACAATTAATCATTCCAATTGATACAATTTATCAATTTGATCAAGTTACTGATGCATTTAATAGAATGTATGCTAGAGGTGTACGTGGTAAACTTGTCATTGAAATGAACAATTAATTTTTGTTTTTATGTAGTGATTCTTTTTTTTGTTTGAATGCTTTCACAATTCAATTTTCAAATTTTTATACAAAAATTATGTTTAAATAGATGAAATTTGAACAACACAGAGAGAGAGAGAGATAAATAACATTGAAAATTGATCACTACTCACTAAAACAACCTTCATGTTCAAGGTTCTATGTCAGGCGAATCAAGTTACAAGAAAAATATTATTTCTCATTAAGTTAAGAATTTCTTCTAACCAATGAAAATGATAGGATGGAAAAAAATTTTGTTTTTGTTAAACAACAGAACAAGAAGTCAATTTAGGCGATATGAAGACTAAAATTTCAAATTGTGTATAGAATTTTGAATAGAATTTAATTTTGTTTTAATTGAATAAGTACTAAACACTATTTGTCATTAATGAATTTACTTGAATACTTGATTGGTAATGACAAATGAAGTATTCTGCTTACAGTGAGAGAGAGAGAGAGAACTACATATGGGATTAACAATTATTTATGCATTGTATTGTAACGCTTGCTTGAATGATTCCCAGCTAATTCCTATTGCTTAATATTCTCTGACCACAATACACTGGACAAGTTCCAAAGAATCAAAAACACGGTTGAGCAGGAAAAGATTATATTCCAAATATCGAGGTTAAATGGAAGTAAGAAGCGAAAGGCGAAAGCAAAATAGATAAAACGTTAGTTTCTTTATAGCATCTACATGAGAAGCTTCTGGACAGAAATTCACGTGATCGACTGGATTAGATTTAGCCAATCAGTATGCAGCTAACAATACGAGAATTTTCTACTCTATTCTCCAAGGGTCAATCAGGCGCTGATGGGATAGGAAATTAGCCAATCAGCGCGCAGCAACGTAGTCATGCTTTAACTACATCTGTATCCCACTAACACATTGATTTGTCTAAAAGCCATTGCAATTCACATACAAATGGCATCTAGATAGTAAGATCAAATTATTGGCAGCAGTAGATTCTGGCTTATCATATGAGTTATCCACAACTACTGAGGCATTCTGTTTCATAGAAGATAAAAAAAAGTATACAATCTTTTTGTGCAGTATTTGGATACCAACTAGTTAGATGAACAAAAAACCTCATTAATCATGGCGTAAATTATCTGGTAGACTGTGGATATGGAAATGAAGCATTTCACAATTGGTTCCTTTATTCCGATGAAAAATTGAAATACATTCGGTCTACACACTTTGGTTAAATACAACGTGAATATGGTTTCCTCTGAAATAATCCCCTATATAGGATGAGATGTGCCTCCTAGGTTTCCACCGCTAGCCACATTCCATCTTTTCTGCATAGATTACATTTGTTAGGATCTGTATTCCGCTATGTGGGGCTGGCTTTATTAGATATGTCATCTTGACTAATAACTTGAGAATTTGGTAATTTTTAAGCTAATGACAGCAATATGAATCTTTTTTGTGACTGGAAATCTGACTCCTCCTATTTCGACGAAAAATTGAATCTAATTTCCGTATATCATTGTTAGGTGAACGCCGTTGATGCAACGGCGTTAATAAGAATCCAATTACGGTTTCAGTTGGACGGGTTTATTTCACGCAGATAGACATGAGGATAAAAATCGTAAAAGCGAAATTTAAACAGGAGAAGGCGAATTGGCCAACTCAATCCGATGAGGCATGATTAACTAGTTGTTGTCAGACAAAAATAAGCTAGGCATGTGAAAAGT